ACTGTGTTGAAGCCCGAAGTTGAATGGCGGTGGCGGAGGCGGAGGCAGAGGAGGAGCCGGAGAAGGATGAAGGAATGGTTTTGAGTTATTCTATGTGTTTATTACATATTGCCAAAAGTCCTTATTAGCAACATTTAATAAACATTGCAAAAAGTCAACATATTTCCTGTTTGCAATGTTTAAATAAACACTGCAAAAGAAGCTAGTTTTCACAACGTTTATTAGACAAAACTTATATTAACAACATTTTAATAAACGTTGCAAAAAGTGTTTGTTTTGGCAACGTTTTAGAAATGCTACGAAATTTTTTTTTTTAATTTTTTTTTGTAACACTCAATAAACGTTGCAAAAAGCTAAATTTTTTAGCAATACTCAATAAACGTTGCAAAAAGGTGACATTAGCAACATGCACTAAAAAATATTGCCAAATCTCAATCATGTTAACTTTTTGCAACATTTACTAATAAAAATGTTGCGGTAGACACATATAGCAACATTTAATCAATAAATGTTGCCTTTTGCTTGTTGCAAAAGGGTATTTTTCGTGTAGTGATTCCTTTGAGAACTTCTAGTCTTACCCCCAACATAAGGGCCTTTAAAGATGGTGTCTATTTCGCTTATACGCTCGACATTTCTTTCTATTGGAGCCTTCTCCCCTATCTTTATGTCTCGTGGCTTCTGTCTATTTTCTTCCCTTATCCTACATATTCTGTATGGGAGAATAGCCCGTTTTGGGTGTGATTGTTCCTGGGATGATACGACATGGAGGGGTAGTCCCTAGTATTGTATTGAGAACTTTGGTGATAAGAACGGTAGGGTCTAGTCCTATGTTTACTTCTTCGACCCTTTTCTCTACCTTGCTACATGCCCAAATTTGTTCCATTGATGGTATACCAAGTGAGAAATGGGGCATTTTTCTCTCGTTCTTTATGCGGGGGGGTGTTCTATGGAGACCCTATTGTGATAGTCAATCAATTGCTCATTAACTATCTCACAACTTATTATTTCCAACAACTGATCAAGGTGGTTCGATTGACATTCGGTACATCTCTTCAAACGAAAACATTCATATTGAGATCTCCTCTCAAGGCAGATAGGGTCTTCACATCTTTGACCTATAAGTAAGAAATCATCTCATTCGTGATGCGTCCTAAGAAGCTTTTCGACGTTTCATTGGGCTGTTGCATCATGTTATCGAAGCATTGAATTGGGTCTTTTCTTTTTTACGAGCCACATACCATTTTAGGAATGCATTTTTAAGTTCTAGCCAGCTTCTTTTACTTCTAGTCGATATTTTACTTTATCATATCTCAATTGTTCCAATCAAAGTTAAGTGGAACACTAGACACTTCATCATTGGTAAAACTTTTCTTTTGCTCTTGTAGTTGTTGAGGTACTTCATTGGGCCGCCTTTTCCCCATATTTGGGATCTTTGGGGGTATAGTGTGGCTGGGTACCCTAGCTTTTCTTAACGGTTGCGAGAAGGGCACGTTATCTTCATTATCATCCAGGTTGCACGATCTTTGTAATCCATCAAAATCTTTATCTTACTCCGCTTGATATGGAGGAGGAGGCTAGGAGGTCCTGTGCCTGGTTTCTTCACTTTTATTCATACCTCATTTCTCGCCTATTTCTAGGTGATGCTTGACTTTGAGATTGCATGTGTTCCTCGAGCCTATTTCTAGGCTCCAGGGGCTGTTGAAATAAACTATTCTTGTGAAGGGTTGATCTTGTCAAACATATTGATGGATCGTGAAGGTACTTCCATATTCAGAAGGAAAATACAATGAGTTTTCCTGGGCCACTCAGTAAAATAGTTCGTTGAACTGTTGGATGATGGTGGACGTGTCTTCATCCCTACGACTATCGGATGAAGGTGCACGTGGCTTCATCCCTACAACTGGATTCTCCTGTCATTGGTGTCAACAATCATTCCTAGGCCATATTGTATTAAGTATAACGGCGGTTGTGTAGCTCTAGGCCTGCAATATAAGACTAGACTTGACTTATTAGCTGAATGGAGTAGCCTATTTAGTGACCTATCACATCATCCCACTTGCTGCAGGATCTTGTACAAAGTCTTCTTTGGGAAGCCTCTGGCAATCCGATCTGGCAGTCAGAGATCGTCTATAGCTAATGGGTTTGATCTATCCATATCGGTTCGGATGCTCATGGGTTCGACTAAGACTATCATGTCATCAAAATGATGGCGTGGGCATGCATTCTTCTACCATGTGCACCACATGGCTTTGACTAGAGCTTTGTTGGATAAGGCTAACAAGTTCCATTGTTTTATAAATGACTTTTGAACAAAGTGAGCATGAATTCATTTTTTATTGCACTAGTGGATAACTTTAAAACAAGTCGCGTAAATTAATTACATTAGAATTTTTAAAAAAATTCATAATTCATTATTATACTAATTACTCAGTTAGTTCCATAATGAAAACCAATTTAGAAAAACTTGAGGGAATTAGATCCATCTAAAACAAATAACGTCAGTACTTAACTATTCTTCAATTCTGATCATTGTCCTAAAAAAAGTGAAAGACTCAGTAGTCATAATACTTAGTAAAAAGTTAACTGCATTATAGTGTAAAGCAAATCTTCAACAAAGTACCGTTTAGGTGATAATCTATTAGGGAAGAAAAATGTCTACACTATAGAATGAAAACTACTTTCCAAAATCAGAAATATCCCAAAAATAAAAGAATGGACAAAATAAAACATAAAGAAAATTGAAATGCACCAATGTTTGTAGAGGCTACTTCTTTTCAACTATGTCTTGGTCATCGATTAGAGATTTGGAGAATGGTTGAGGTCATGATGAAAATAATTCCTATATCACTTTGTTTAGCTCACCTTCATGAGAGAAAATTGAAACACCAAAAGAGCAATACGAGTGATGAGAGACTATATTAACCTATATGGGATTTGACATTGTTTGGAGAAAGAAACTTTCAAAGTTGAAATTTGTGACTTGATTCAAGGAGTGCAGGTGGAATTGAGAATGATTAACACACACATTCAAAAGTTGCATATAAGATATGTGGAGTATATGAAATAACTTTTAATTCTTAGATTTCATTAACTAGTTTAAATACTGTGATTTAGATATTAGAAGCATTGAATTACATATACTAGTCGAGTGTTTACAGTATAATTAAGTTTCTATTTTGCTTGATTCAATGGCTAACAAAGGTTTAATTTTGGGGGATATTTGATAAATGTAAATATTACACTTATCTTGATCATCAAAAGTAGCCTTCAAAAGTGAGTATTACTGTAATATCCCGAATTTTTATTACTAATCGTTAGATTAAAAATTAGGACTTAAGTGCGCTATTATTAAAATCTAATGACCTTATTGGTTATTAACCTAGTTAAAGGACCTTATTAATTACTAGCCAATAGTTTGAGGACCTAAGTGAAGATTTAATTTGGAAGTTAAATAAAATTATATGTAAAATATAAATATATATAAATATGTCAATTAACTATGATTAAAGATAATTTATTTGACCATATGCATTATTCACCACATTTTAAGCAAAGTAATTGCTTTGACCACATAAATAAAGGTAATTGATTTAACCACATGCATTATTTACATCAAGATTTAAGCTAAGTCAATTGATTTGATTACATGATTAAATGTATTGATTTGACAACTTTCAAGACATTGCATCAATTATGCTTTGACTATGCCTAACATCTAGCCCTTTTTTTTCATCTTTCTACACATGGTCCAAGAGCTTGCACGATAAATAGGAGTTGAACTCAACATTGGAGTATTCCTCACCAACTATATACTCTATCCCTTTCTATCTCTATCACTTTATCTCTATTCCTTTACTCTTTTCTCTTGTCTTTTTTCATATTAAATATAGTCATCCATTTCCACAATCACACAATTCGACACGCGACTCAAGGATCCCCCTCCAACAATCACTTTTTCTATCATTTTTGAAATGTCAAGTAAAAGGTAAGTGTATGAATTGTTCTTTCATTATTTAAATTACAAAAATTTATGTTATGAATATGATGATACAGAAATACAAGTTATGATTATGATAAGGGTCCTATACGTGTAAATTCAATGGACCGGAGTTTAATAACACTACGCATGAGAATTATAGTCACGAAGTTCGGATTTAAATTATTGTGTCTCCATATGTATGTTATTATTTTCCATAATTAAATATGAGATGCAAATTCGTTCTTACTCATTTATTGATATTTATTTCTCACATGTATATGTTAAATACTTTATAGGTAACTAAAAAAGGCGAGTTCGAGGCGAGGCGAGGTAGATTGTGCTTGCATGGTTGAAAATAGCATGGTTGAAAATAAAGAACGATTTATGTAGTTAAAGATTTTAATGATTTTTGTTGTATTTTTTAAAAAATTATTTTAATCCTTTCATGTTCAAAAAATATTATGTGTTTTTTCATTATTTATGAAAGTATTATTTTACGGTACATGTATAATGATTCCAAATGTAAAAACTTGGGTACTACAATTTGATTAGAGGGGTAAGCTCAGTCCAAGATGCATTGGTCCTTTCAAAATTTTAAAGCAAATTGGAAATGTTGCATTCCAGTTAGCTTTACCACCAGAACTTTCACCTGTACACGATGTGTTTCATGTAAATGCTCAGAAAGTATGTCCCTGACCCAACTCATATGGTGAGACATCAATCATTAGATATTCAGTTGAATCTATGTTACGAAGAAGTACTAATATACATCGTATTTCAGAAAGTACAAAAGTTTTGCAACAAAGAGATACCACTGATTAAAGTGTTATGGCAGCATCACTTAGTAGAAGAATACTTGGAAGCGAGAAATGGAAATGCGAGCCAATTATCCACAATTCTTCAACGAGTTCCAAGGTAAATTTCACGGACAAAATTTAATTTAAGGGAGGTAGGTTGTAATATACCGAATTTTTATTACTGGTCCTGAGATTAAAAATTAGGACTTAAGTGCACTATTATTAAAATCTAATGATCTTATTGATTATTAGCCAATTGTTTGAGGACCTGAGTGAAGAGTTAGTTTGGAAGTTAAATGAAATTATATGTAAAATATATTTAAATATGTCAATTTCGAGGACGAAATTTATCTTTAGAAGGGTAGATTGTAATACCCGCACCTGAATTTTTGGGTCTAATTATCAAAATTGAAATTTTATGGGCTCATTTGAGGGTTAATCCACATTCTAGGACCTTGTAGCAAACTTACTATAAATGCTAATTCCCACATTTTTTTTTGTTTTAAAGAAAGGTTGAATTGTTGGTCAAACACTTATATAGAAAATTCTTGATATATGCTTTTTTTTTTCATAATCTTGATTGACCAAAAATAAGTAATATGTAGTGTGAATGCATGAAAGTAGGAATAACGGAGAGATTCTTGCTCATTTCACAAATTTCAAGGATTGATTTCCACCATTATGGGTTTTTCCTTAATGATGCATGCCTAGTCTTGTTCTAATTAAACCCTCATTCACAGTCACATGCATAGAAGGATCAAGCAAATTATATATACATATACACGTACATAGCCGAGGTGAAAGGTAAGTGGAAGGTATTTACGATTTTCGTTGCTTGAGTTTCATCTGGTTATGGCTCTTAGATACCATGGTCAGGACATGGGGAGAAGTCTTCAAAATTCACATTCCAAGATCCAGGAAAAATATTTTGGACACCTGAACTTAGTCACAAATGAAGATGTTAGGGACATATTCCTTGGTACGACAAATGAAGAAGATTATGAAGTGGTGAAAATTGGGATTCTTTATTTGATGACATCATACCTTTTTTAACCTTGTACAAGAAGGTTGTTGACAATTATTTGTTTGCTCTTGTTGAAGACTTTGATATGGTGAAGGTGTTTTCGTTTGTAAAAGATTTGCCTGAACTTTCCATAACCTCACTGAAAGATGGATTGAGGAATTGAAATCCTCATTACAGACTCAAAGGATTTCTAATTGCATTTCAAATTTAGATCAACGAGTCTATTCTTCAGCATGATGGGACTGTCACTTCTAGGATTGGAAGTAGTTACCCACGTATATTGAACTGGAGATCAATAAACTACCGTTTGGTGCAAAACTTGAAGAGAAGGTGTTCCCTACACCTGATGTAAGTCTTCACTTAATTGTCTTACTTAATTTGATCACAGGTGAGTTACACCTTACACCAAATAGTCACTGTCCACTATTCTCACTCTACCGTCAATAACACACTCTACTGTCACTTTCACATATTTATTCTCACATTTTATTGCTTTCATTCAAATGTTATAAGTCTCATATTCCGGTTACAGTTATACGTTTCTAGTCACATTTTACATTATGCAATCTTTATTCATTCAGATATGACTGGTCTTTTACCTTATTTCGTTGTAGTAGCTTCAAGTTCAAGACATCAATCCGTCTGAGATGGAGATGGTGCCGCCATATATGCATGGGGTTTTATATAACAGACAACAACAACCATCGCTATCACGCCATAGTAGAAGTTTAAAGATCAACCGACCTATGAAGAAGTCTAAGACACGCATTCTAATTATTACTGATGGATGGTTAGGTCATTCGAGTGATATAGAGGATGACGATGACGATGATCTACCTCCGAGACAATGAAGGACTTCATTTTCTATCCATTCTCCCATGTACCCTCCGATAGAGCCGGACAAGATGTATGTGATTCACCGAACGAAAAGGATCCATCCGTTCATATGTCTCTACCCTATGCAACAGGTACAGTTGAATTCGATGTATGTCCATATTCGTGATTTTCATACGTGCTACTTTTAAATTGAATGAAAATTCTAAGTCAACACTCATATATCTATCTTAAATCTTCGTTCTGTTATTAGGTCATAGTTTACATGATCATTTAGTGGAACACAAATGTGGTAAACTAGTCACAGATTCTTATTCTTTGTTTCTAATTTCCATAGTCGTTGTGTGCTGCAGTTCGTGTAAATGATTCATATATAAATGTGTGTAGCTATAGTGATTTATTTTGTGTCACTTGTCATAGTTTCCACGTCATGTCCAGCATATATGGTCACATGTCGCTCATGTACGATAATGTCTTACGTTCTACGCATAGTAGCTTTGTTGTCAAATGCTTTCCATTTTGTAGCTTTTGAAACATGAAGTTACTAAGCTCTAAATGAAAAATATGAAGTTGTCTATGGAAATCGATGATGTCAAGGCACAATTTCTGTCAATAAAGGTTGATAGGAGTCACAAGCTCAATATTGTTGTTTGTACGGAGGAGAATATCAATACAGACCTCATGAGGATAAAGTCAGAGCTTAAATTTCTATCTAATTTCATGACCGCAATGGTAACTAGCTCAATGGATCAAATATTGAACAGGTTCAAAGAGATAGGTGAATCAAAAACCACTAGCTTTGCACCCAATCAAGAAGAAGTATGTTCATCCTATTTCCAATGTCATTTTACGTAGTTCATAATGCACTTATTGAATTTTAAGGTTTGTGCCATGTGTAGGAAAAAAATGTTGATGAATCTGTTGACAGGAAAGGAAAGGGGAAAAAGTACCCCGATGTGCAAACTTTCGACTCAATGAACTTAGAACTGCCATCATTTGATTTGGGGATCTATTACACCGAACCTACTCCAAATGTATGTAACACGCCTGATATGCTTCAATCCGATCAATTACAAGAACAAATTGATACTGTAATATCCCGTGTAGTGATGGACTCGGAAGTTGCCCATCAGAAGGTGAATTGTTCCAAAATACCAGTTAGATACGAAGTATTAGATTACATATTTGTTGGTCAAAAATGAACTATTGGATTTACTAATTCACTAAATGACAAGTATCTCCCACATCAGCACGCTCATCTGGACTGCTATTGAAGCGGGTTTCTAGAGCCACGCGATATTACAGTCCCCATTCATTTCTAACGAAGGGAAACAGAGCAAGAGCTCGAATAATATTGTAGTCTTTCGTTTCTACAATCAATATTCTGACTATGCTAATGTTACTGCATTTAAAAGTTGGTTTTATAGAGGTTACAAACCAATAAACAAGTATGTACATTCGATAATATTTTTCTAGCACTAAATTAACCTAGGGATGATTGAATATTGATTAATATCTTTTTTTATCCCACATGAAAAAATTTAATGATCTTGACATAAAAGAACGTACAATGTGCATATTCAATTTAGATAAAAGGACCTACCCAGATTTACTTGTTCATGCTGAGATTGAACCATATGTTAGAATCATCCTTCACTTGATGAGAGCAATTGGATTATGGACCAAAGATTCAGCTAATGATGAAGGTGATTCCATACAGTTGAGGATTGTGCTTGGTTACGATGTTCCACAACAGCAGAATGGGCATGGTTCTAACAATCAACTCACATTCTGACAAATTAAATACATACATAAATATCATAAATGTGACCTCCGTGTTGCTACGAAAGCTAACAAACTTAATAAACTTTTTCCAGCTACAACTGAGGCATATTCGTTACCAAATATGCTGAGTACATTTTTAATGATGACTTGAAGTCCATGCCAAAAGAGTTTGGTACTGCCAGAGCTAAGTTTGATATAGCTGCATAGCTGTACAAACACTGTGCCATCAAGAGGCTATTAAAGGGGGAAAGGAAAAGGTTGAGGGAGTATAGTCATTGAATGAAATTAAGAAAAAAAAAAGTTCTGATCATTGATGCCACTTTTGGAATGGAAGGGACCATTCATAATTTTTGTTTTTTTTTTTTTTGTTTTTTAGATAAATACTTTTGATGTTTCATGTTTAAGTAGAATTTTAAATGTCACATATATTTATGGTGAGGTCACATATGCAGTATTATATGTAGGTATGAAGCAGGTTTCAATTAGATGGTGTTTATTCTAGATGAATAATTTTCGAATGGAAGCATGATTTTACACTTTAATGCAGGTCATAGACAATATAAATAGGTCAAATGTATACTTTATTTGAATCACAAATGCATACAAAGTCACAGACAAATCTATGCATGAGCACAATTACACATCATAATACATGTCACAAATGCATTTTGCAACAAGGTCACACACATCACCTAGTAAGGTCACCAATGCATATCACAACACAGGTTACAAATGCATATAAAAAAATACATCCTACAAATATGCATTGGTCAACTTTTAAGTGTTTGAAATCACAATTGCAGTGACATATTATAATTTCAATGCCACATCTACTTCTTCATGGTCACAATTTTGTCGCAAGAATATGTGACATTTGTTTTTTGTGGTTACTATTTTTTATATCAAAGAAGTCAGTTATATTGAAGTTACAAATGACTATTTTCCACTGCAAATCACAATTTCATTGTCATAAACTATATGGAATTTTCCCATATACTAATTTGGGTGCTACAACTTCGACTAATTTTGACTTATGGAATCAAACTACTACATGTCTTGCGATTGTGACATTTCAACCACAACATCTACGCTTGATGTGATTTTCCCTTTACAGGACGATCTCTTCCTCTTTTCAGATGGCCTTCATGTACTTTTTTTGTTGGGTGCCAGCACAACTACATCTAGAACTTTATCAGGCACTGTCCACTCATTGAGATTTCCAACTGGAAATACTGTATGTTGATATGCATTAATGTATGCATCTCTCGTGTAGAAATATGAACAATAATCATATGGATCCATCTTTGTCGTTACAATAATAGCCACAGTGTGTGGGTAGGGTAATTGATCTACTTGAAATGTCCTGCATATGTATGTACGTTGTTTCATATCAACAATAAATGACGAGCAGTCACCACGAATAGAAAAAAAAATGGTTTGATTTATAAGAGATACCTGCACATAGTGACATAAAACTGGTGTATGTCAAGTAACAGTTAATATAACATTGTCAACCATTTCAAACTAGAGCAAAAGTTATACTCGTGAAATACAGGTCACAGATACAAACGTTACCGTGAAATTTCTCAAATCATTACTCATATTCTTCAAAATTTTCTCATAATTGCTTGATAACTTCGTGAAAGTACCATATGTGGTGGCCGGGTTTACTTCGACCTACAAGCAAACATGAAGAACATCAATGATATAAACATCATTTGCGACATAAAAGCATGTATGTTAATGTGATTTTCAACCGACAATGACCAGGTAGGCTGTAATCTTTGGATTAATTGACTCAAGCTGCCGCATGTTATATTTGAATTCTACTAGGGTGTAGGCACGAATTGCCGAATTGAATGCTTGTGTTATATTGTGATCCAATTCGCCAAAATACGACTTCAGGTTCTGTAATAGATAATATGAGGAAATCCCATGATATGTCCTTGGATACACCTTTTCAATTGCATTCTTAATACTATTGTGGCGATTTGATACAAAATACAGTCCACGCCTTCTTCAATTGTTCAAAGAACCATGTCCGTGATTTGTTGTTCTCGTTGTTTCCAATTCCAAATGCAAGAATGAATATACTATTATTTGTGTCCTATGTACATGTCGTGAATAGTGTGCCACCATGATATCCATTCAAATACGTGACATCAACTACAATCACAGGTTTACAACGCTCTCATCCTCTAATTGATGCACCTAATGCCATGAAGCAGTATTTTAACCTATTGTGACTGTTAAGCTCCAATCATGTGACCGTACAGTGATTCATTTGACGTGACATATAAAAAAAGTTTGGTATCTTCATGAAAGACTCCGTTTCAACATTTTCTCTCAAGACCTCCAAGCCTTAACATAATTTAATGAAACCTCATAATTATGTAACATGTTGTTGCGTATATCATTTGAGTGTACCTTGTCCGTGACGAAGTATACTTGTATTTGATGCATGTGGACACAACTAATGCTGACACTTGCTTATCCAACCCCAATACTATATTTGCAGCACATGTATGACCATCAGTCATCCATCTTATCTTAAACATATCTGTTGCACCCATTTTGGATAATTTACATTTCCAATTACACTCCTCTCAGGAATGCCTTACAAGATATTCCTCTTGTCTGGATAAATGACCATATGTTCAAACATATTTGTATTGCATAGAATGCCAAGCTCATTTTGAGTATCTCCTTATTACGGAATATCTTTCCAATTCCAACTGCCACATCACTCTCGCATCTGTGACTTACATGTTTTATTGCTGCCTCACATATGTCAGATGATATAATCAACTAATGAAAACATATCTTCACAAGAACGTACATCAGCTAGAAGCTCGAATGTTTGTTCCTAGCCCTCTACGACTGTGACCTCAACGGTTATGGGATATTTTGAAGGGTCACAATGCTTGCCTTCTAGCACCAAGTATGAATTCATATTACTATCACTCTTTTTTAACACTTGGGGAGCACATTGCTCAATGCATACTTCAATATGACCACCATCTTCCATTGATCCATATCGAACTCATTCGCAACACTATTTACTAGCTTTGTATAGCTACAATTGCAATCAACCAGAAGCAACAATACCAGTGATCCATGTAACAAGCACACATGCACGTAATCCATTCCTGTACAGTTTGAGAAGAAAAATTCAATTTTCGGGTTATGGTTATCACAAGTTATGCAGCATTTAGGTTACAGCTCAATATTGCAGGCCACAATGATATGTTGGAGGTCTGAATCATTTTTTAAACACGTGTCAACATACAACATTATTTACTTTCCCAAAAGAGACAGAAAGTCACACAATTGTGGATCACAGTGAGCATGAGATACAGAAATTACAGAAATGAACTTTTCTTGCACCATTGTGTGACTTCGAATAATTATAGAAATAGAAACAAATAAACAATTATTAACCTCCACTTCGATAGATCTACAACATAAATGGGGCACTGTCTTCTTGGGCTTTGTGACAATTTCATACACTCCGACATAAATTGGTCGACGACATTAGAGACACCAGAATGGAATGGAGACAGACATATTCTGGGTAAATGTTTTGCAACCTGCTACGTGAATAATGGTGTTGTTTTTAGGGATGACAGTTTCTAATCATAGGAGTCCAATCATAAAAGGAAACCAAAGCTTGATTTTAGGGATTGATTTGTAATGGATTGATCTCTCTCTATCTCTCTCCCCTTATGTATATAAAAGAGTCTTTGAGATTTGAAACATTAATCTTCATATCTTCAATATAAAATTGGCAATACTTATTGTTTGAGATATGAAATTTTCCCTTAAATAAAATTTGATAGTAAATATTTAGTTTCTGTGAGATGATATTTGGATTTGAAAATTTACTTTATTACTTTTCTCAATGCATACGCTTAATTAAGGAATCGATTGATTATATTGCATTAAATATGTGTAATGGGTAATGCTCAGTATGCCGACTTTTTGTCTTTTTGTTTTTCTTGTATTATTGAAGTTTTCTTAAAATTTATGCAAACCCCACTATTGATCAATCATGGATCTTCCCTTGTTTGTCTATGAGTATACACACTAATATTATTAGAATTTGAGGTTGTACTAACATAGTAATAAATTTCTAAAAATAAATAATTCATGATTTAGGTATATACTTGTCAATGATGAGACCTTCCCTTAACTATGCCCTTGTTTGAGGACTTTTTTTTTTTTTTTTAAATACATTTTTTTCAAAACTCATTTTCAACTACACATTCTTTTATAAAATAATTTTACATGCAAACCTAAAATTTTATTTACTTTTTTAACCACACATTTTTCCAAAAAATCACTATTCCATGATACATTTTACCCCAAAAATGGGGATCAAATAGGGGCTATTGTAACCATGTGTTTGGCTATAATTTATAAATTAATTTGTAAATTCACTCAAAATCAAGCATTAATTTTAATAACACATTCAAAGTCGGTACATATTATTATCCATATTTTTCATATGACTACTATTATTACTCTTACTATTCTTATTTATAATTTTGCCAAAAGGATGTTTGCACTATGTGTGTGCACTAAAGGTCCTAACATCTTTTGAGGGGCTACTTTGGTACCAAGGGAATACTTTTTTTTCTCTTGCATAAGCACCTAATGAGCCCACTCAAATTGGTGATGTCAATTTTCTTTTGTAATCATGTCAAGTATAATCTAGTGTATTATATCACACAACCCGATCCGAATCACCCGAATTGACCGAGAACATGACTTGTGCCGATGATAGATACTGACTAAATGCCTGACCTGCCACCAAAACTGACTATGACTTTGTACAAAATATGCGCCAAATCAAATGTTAATGAAAATATAATGTAATGGGCGCAAATTAATTTTTTTATATACTTAGCTCGATGAACATAAATAATCTAAAATGGTCATGTGCTGATGACTCCTAAATCAACAAGCTCTTCAAAGCTCCCCAAATTCAATTGCTACCTAGTAAGAAAAACGTGAAAAAAATATGAGTTGATGACTCAGTGAGTGGAAAATTCAAAAATAATTATACTTTCTCATTTACGCAATTTTATCGAAAATTGGGTGTACGTCATTTAACCGTTCAAAGTCTAACATATAATAATAATAATACTAATCAAGATGTGAGACACCTCGTAATGCTGAAAAATATCATCTTATAGTCATGATATAATTATCAACTCAAATCCATGTCATCATCTCATCACATTACATGTAATTCACCAAAAACGTACCCTCTAACTAACATCTGTAATCCGCCCCTCGGGCTAAATACTTTCATCACAAGCTCTTGGCCCCAACCATGAAGAAAAGTAGTCTCAAGACCTCTGGTAATCAATTCTAGAATACGGTCTAGACCCCTCTGTGAACTATATGTATACAGTCAAGACCAATGTTCGGTCAAGACCCCTCCATGTAGGATAGAACACGGCCAAGGTTCCTTTGTGAACTAGAAGAAATACATTATTACGGGTACTTTTTTGGTCGATTTCAAAATCACATGTCACATTCCAGTTCATAGGTAATCCATTTATAACCTTAAAGATTTCACATATATCATAATGAAAGAACCTTTCATAATAATCATGTAATTGTACAAGAAATTAACATAATTGCACAAAATATAATAGTATTATTAATATTTTAAATTTTTAAAAACTATATAAGTTTTTCCACTCACAGACCTATTGATAAACATCTGATTGAATTGAAGAGACTTTCCAAGCTTTCACGTCACCACTTGAAATAATGTTCTAATTACTCAAATTAAAACATGACCATTAAATTAATATAAATCCACCGCGTAATTCCTTAACTTCTATATTTATTCTTGCATCTCTATTTCCCTAACTTATTTGCACTTTGATTATTAGTAACCAATCATCCCACATAATAAAATCCATTATATTATTCAATACTTTCCTAAAATCACTACCGTATACACATACGACCCCCATCTATGATTTAATTCAGTACCTAGACTCCAATATTTATCATTTAGCTCATTCAAAAATATAAAATATGAGAAAACACATTGGGGACAAAAACAGCACTTAAATTCCACAGTATTGAAATCTGGCACCAATCGCTAGTTATTGAAAAGTGTCACCGAATCCATTGACAGAAATAGCACTTTTTGGGATTAATTTCAAAAATAGCACCTACACATGAATTTTCCTCAAAAATTTATTATAAATACCAAAATCTAACCTAAAATCCTTTTAACACTAATTCCTCATAAATCAAGTGTTTTATATTATCTAAACACAATAATTCAATGATTGAAACTCTAATTTACAAACTCATTTCACATTTCCTTCCTTTCAACACTAATATTATTGTTGTTTTTAATGCTTCAAACATATATCAACAATCATTAATTTTTGCTAACATTAAATTTGAGAAAATTTTTATAAACTCAAAAAGATAATTTAACCTGCTTACATCTGCCTCTCTAAATCAATGGAGAAATTAAAGAAATGGAGAATTCAAATTTGAAAACCCACTACTTCTTCTTCTTCTTCTTCTTCTTCTTCTTCTTCTTCTTCTTCTTCTTCTTCTTCTCCTCCTCCTCCGCTATCTATGTGTTATTTTTTCTTCCCAAAATAAGAAAATTAAATGGGTCACTTATCCTTTAAGTGGTCAAGTGGATGACTATTACATAATTGCAAGTCAAGCTCCACTCTTCATAACATATAACCTCTAGTCCTTTAATTATATTAATAGAAAATTTAATCCCTGAATTCTTATTTGGTATCATTTTTGTGCTCTTAAGTATTAGTATTTACAAATTAAGTCCCATAAAATTATTTGTTCAACTTAAGTCCTTATTTGATTTTGACTAAATAATTCCTTGATTTTGACTATAAAAGAGTGGGATGTAACATTATATGTGAAGTTAGGGTACGTATTGTGCACCAAGTTAGCCATATAAAGATTTTGGATATAAAATTTTAAGGATTAGTATTAGGTGGATGGTGTTACGGTGGATTAATGTAGATAGTACTCAATTTTTTATTCAGAAGATAGTAATAGTAGTATGAACCATATAACATAATACGGAGGTCAAAGGTGTATTTAGACCAAAAACAAAAGAAACAGATAGTGTGTGATATTCTTTTGAAAGAAAATTCAAAAATTATTTTCCACCTTTATCCACCATAATATTCTCTGCCTAGTAATATTAATTATAATTTATACTAAAACATAGATAATTTTCAAGTTTCAAATATTACAAACAGCAAATATCTACACTATTTACCAACATCTCATTCATCACAACATGATAATTTCATTCAGCTAGCAATAATGATATAAATGCAGCAAAGATTAATACTATTTCTAAATGTTTTTACTGGTATATATGTCTTCAAACATTTCACGTTCAGAATTGACATGTTCAACCCTAAATCTCTCTTGAACACTTGAAATATAGCTTGCAGCCTTTGCATCAATGCATTCATCTCCAGCCATGCAATAAAAATTATCCAACTTTCCATGCGAATCCCGACCTTTTTCATGCACAACAATCGAAACTTTCTGCGTCTGTTGAGGAAAAACTTGCTCTTGGTTCATGATGAAGCCTGCATCCTGTTTTGTTTGATGAATCTGCTGGGGAAATATTTGTTCTTGGTTGACTACGAAACCCACGGGGGCAGCCAAGGGCGGAGCCTTCTGCTTAATTTGATGCATCTGCTGAGAATAAACTTGTTCTGGGGGCGGAGTCTTCTTCTTGGTTTGATACAAAGACATAATCATCTTTGCTTTGATGAAACCTCTGCGCTTTCGGTTAGACTCCATTTCGCCTCGGGCTTGGCAATTATATCTAGGTTTTGCACTGTGCACCGGATGTTTGTGCTTCGATGTGTACATTCTATTTATAATGTTGCATGTCGTAAAATTTAAATAGTTAGTTTTACGCTAAATTCAATTTATAATTACCTTTATTCTTTATCCAGACATGAGAGAGAGTTTGTTGGGGTAGTATTTGCTTTTAAAAATGTTAGAGATGCGTACACAACAGAACGTGCATGAAATGCTTCAATTTTTCACTGGCTTTTGCACTTTTAGGGAAAGACAAATACAAGCATTAGCTCAGAACTGGACCACAATGGATGACATGTAGAATTTCATATTTTTCTTTGCAACCACACTTTAAAAAAATGTTAAAAATAAATAATCAGATTAAGATGGAATTTCATTAGTATGTTTAGTATGCGCATGAAATAGTCATCAGTTATTTTCGTCGGTTTTATCAGTTAATTTATTAACTTTCTTTGAAACTTAAGCCGTTAGAGAGAGTCTGTGTGCTTTCATTTAAATCTTGTCTTCAACATATGCTCTCATCTCACGTAGATCGAATTTATGTTACATCAAAAGTCTAACACAGAATCTGGACCATGGTATTAAAAAACTAGGTCTATTGGTATGATATTTAGACCATTTTTTATTTCATAAAATTGGCCTAGTTCTAATTGTGCTCCTGCTGCATGTACAATTTTTTCACATCCTGAGGACATGCTAAAATATAATTAACTTACACTAATACTGTTTGGTAATATCTAATAAGAATAACCTATCCAATAGTGCGTACATATTCTTTGTTGAAACAACACAGAAGTTAAATACCTTGTGTATCTACTCTTTTTGGACTGTTGTACATCCAAAAGCAATTTTTCAAGAGGTTCCAAAATATCTAGCAAATAATTCATTCCCAAGTCGATGCTTCCTGCATAATTTTAGCAAATGGAATCACTCAAGTGCTTTACATGATATTTTTGTTTGTTTTAATTAATTTTTTTCAGCTATAATTTTCTAACTTATAAAGGCCGAATCAAATAATTAATTAAGTTAATTAAAAATTTCCAGGAAAAAAAAAAAACAAAAACCCCATTATGATAAGAGAATATATAGTATCTGAGATCAGATAAGAAGGTAGTCATTTTCATCTGAGTGTAAGAAAGCTCAGGTTTACTTTAAGATGGTTGAAACAAATGAAGATGTACATATATTTGCAACTTGTGACCTATCAAGTAATTGTGAAGGTATCCCTTATTTTTTTATTCCCCCCCCCCCACCCCCCGGTCCGTATGTATAATTTTTATATATTTGTTACAGTGGAGCTCAACATAAGATATTTGTCTACTTTGGTATAATGTTGAATCACTTCAGTTGTCCAGTGCATGGAAAGTGTGAGAGAACAAGAACCCGCTATAGCAAAGTCATTTATTTTCTAGAACATCGAGATCAGATTGAAAATTTAAAAATAAAACTTTAATTTTCTATTAATTCTACTAAAAAATGCAAGTCTCAAATGTATTTTGAAAGAAATTTACAAGGCCAAAAAGCTGCCTTATTACTGCTATTATATCGTAATCAATATTTAAATTGGATGCTGAAAGCAATGAAAGTAACCTAAATTCAGTGTCTGCCTGCCCGTGTGTACGTTGGCTGTCCCTCCCTGGGTTGGTCAAGTCGATCCTAAAATGCTAATGCTGTCTCTTGCTCTGCATCGTCTCCCATAATCAACATAAACAATATAAACTTAAACTGTTAGAGAGTCGACAAAAAGATTTATCTAAATTTTGGATAAACACGACAAAAATACTTACAATTTTCAATGACATAGCAATATCTACGGTGAAGCATACAGCAGTGGTCATACGAGTAGGAGTGGTCTACTTGGACACATGTACTATAGAAAGTTGGAAAGATTTCTATGCATTTTTGTTAGTGACAACTTTTTAAAGATAAGATATTCTACCTCAATGATGTGTCACATACCAAGTGGTCTCTTTTGAGATTCTATACATATATATAAACCTTCTAGTGATATATGTATATGCATATTGATATTAATGTTGCAATTTCTTTATTTATTTGCTTTGTGTTTATTGATGAAAGTATGAAAGTTTTTGTGAATATTACCGATTATTTTCTCTTACAAATTGATTTTAAAAGTCAAACTAGATGCATGAAGTACAAAATCTTATTAAGACACCTAGCAACAATGAGCAACTTAACGATAGCTCTATTATGTTTTGAAAGCTTGTAGCTTTAGTTCTTAGGAACAATCACATTACGAACCATAGTGAATAGCTAGATATGTTATGCACGAATACATTGAATGAGCTATAAGTCCCCAACGCACCAAGGTCCTTTGCCTCTACACCTAGGGCCTCTAGCCCAACCATCGATATACACATCATTTTGAGTAGGACATCGCGTTATATACATGTACAAAGTGATGACATCTCTAATGTGAAATAAATATATGGGCTACTCACGTAGTTTATGGCAATCAAGTGTGGTCATCTATATGGGAGAATAGTGCTTAGCCTGTTACGTATATCTGAAAATCGGGTGAAATACGCAAAAATTCAAAGGGAATAAGCACAAGAAGATGTTTGTTTAAGTCTGATATCTAAACTCAAGTAAATCTGAATAATAATTTTATTTTTTCTCAACCGAATTCTGTCAAAAATTAATTACTTAAAGGAAATATAAAGAAGTACTGTATAATTTTTATGTTTCATTTTTTTCGGTCTGTCTGGATATCTTACCCTTTCAATATTATTCTCAGCGGCTGTGACTGTGGTTTCCTAAAGAATAAAGCCAATAGGAATCTAGGAAAGAATACAGTACCCATTTCCAGTGTCATTCTAAATAATCTGCCAGGTGATATTCCTTAGAACAATCTTCCTTCCTAAGCAATAATACTTTAGGAGATAGAAGGCGTTGACAAGTGTATTTTATACAAGTATCTGAACCGCTAAATAAGATTAAATATTATGGATTTTGATGAATTATGACTTAAATATGTATAAATTTTGTTTGTTAGGTAAAACTTGATGCCAAGTGATGGAATTTGACGAAATGAGCGAAAATTGTCTAAAATGGAAGAAATTCGAAATTTGGAGACCAAAATACAAATATTTAATATTTGATTTGAACTATGAAACGATAATTGAAGATTAGATAGGATCAATTAGATGCAATTAGAAGTCAGATAAGTAAACTATAACCAAAGTATTTTCACAAATCAATTTTCAGCTGCTCAATTTATGCTCCATATTTGCAACCGACTTTGAAACACATTAATTGAATATTGGGGAAAAAAGATACAACAAAGATACTGACGGATGCTTAGAGACGAAATTTTGTACAGCCAACCAATCCCAAACCTGACGCTAAAGTGTCATAAACATGCTTGGGCAAACATGACTAGATGCATGGGCATTGTAGTAAATCTGACTCGGCAAGAAAACTTTCCTTATTTCATACAAACTCTTTTGGAATTTAAATTGGATGCGTTTCTTGACTTAAATTTGACCCCTATAAATAGAGAACTTGGGTAAAATATTGGGGGATCTCTCTCAAGCCTCTTAATACCTATTCATATCATAAAATTCATTAAGAACGAAAAACGGAATCATAATTTTAAAGGAGAAGATCAAGCTAGCAAGGAATTAAAGACACTTTATACAAGAATATGAAGATTTAAGGTGTGGATTTAAGATCAAGACCAAGGTATTAATTCTCCATCAAGATTCTTATATTTTTCAATGATTCAGGTGATGTCTTTTCATAATTCTTTGTATAGTTCATATATAATAATGTTAAGCTAGATCTTTAATTGTACTCAATGAAGATGAACAAGTAGTTTAGTAATTTTTTTTCTTTATTACTTATGCATGCTCATTGAATTATTTAATTGTTTGATCACAGTAATTAGTTGCTTGTTGTACTGTTGAAAAGTTCACAATTAAGTAAAACACTATATTATCAACACAGATATTAGAAATAACATGTATCACAAATGCGGTCATCTCGATAATTGTGTTATAGAATGTGTTATCACCTAGGTAATCATGTAATTTAATTTATTTGGATTCAGACTAAGAGTATGATCAGATCGTGTCTAGAATAGACTTAATTTATCTTGAGAAATAAAATTAAATATCATAGGATTATCGAATGTTAAGAATGTACAAATACAACTAGATTATATAATCAAGAATTGAAGTAAATAACAGAAAATGAATTAAAAATTCAATACAATAATTCATTCATTTATCCAAACCAAATCTTTTTACATTATCAATAGAAAAATTTAGAATAATCACAACTATTCATCTATTTTGTATTATGCATTTCGAATTCGATACAAGATTAGTACACTTTAATTGAAATTTATTCCTCGTGGGATAATTCTCAACTTATCACAATTATTACTTGTCAATAATCTCGTCCACTTTTGAGATTTATCTGAACAAATCTTTGGTGCCATTGTTCGGGGACTAATTCTTGCACTAGCTCTTGTGCAATTGTCCATTATGTATCCATCTTTCAGGCAGATCAAGTTTCACATTCGATCACATGTCATCAACTTGTTTCAGGATTATCAAGACATTAGATTTATGGGAAAACACTGAAAATCTACATGAGCAAATTCATGCTTTCTAGATGCTTTGAGAGATAATTAGTCACGATGGGATGTTAGCTGACACTCTCTATTGCTCCTAGTCCCTCACACTTTAAAAGAAGGTGCAAGATAATGGTTATGTTCACTACTACTTGGGAGCATCATTTTTTGGAATGACATGATTCATAAGTTCACAATGAAATTTTTTCCACCATTTCAAGTTCATTAAATCAGAAATGAAATTCATAATTTCAAGCAGAAGGACCTCAAGAGCAATCTAAAGGCATGTAAAATGTTAAAAGACTACTTTAGAAAATATCCCAATCTGGACATTCCTAAAAATGCCCAGATCTACATATTTTATTCAGACTTGCAAATTGATTAACATATCATGGTAGACGCTTCAATAGGA